TTCTGTCGGTTGATGTGATGGATTACATTAATTGATTTTCTGATGTTGAACCATCCTTGTGCTCCTGGGATAAAGCCCACTTGGTCATGGTGTATTAATTGTCTTTATTCTTAATTATCACTTAGTAGAGCTGAGTGATACTTTTGTGTCCTAATTCAAGTCCTAATAGTGTGTTTAAAAAAACTTTCTAAAAAATCATGTATGTATGTATGTATTTATTTCTTACATCATTGTTCATTTTTGTACAATGTTTGCTTTCTTTTCTCAGGTGTAGTCCCCATAGAATTTCCACCACCAACTCACCAAGGAACCATCACTATTCCTACCCTCTTCCCACCCTCAATTTGATCCCTCTCACCCCTACCCCTACAGAATGTCTCTGCTTTGTAGTTGTCTGTTTATTTTTATTCTGTTTTGTTGTGGGTTTTGTTGTGATCATTTTTCTCTTTCAGCCCTTATTGGGCTCCCCTATATTGCTCCTATAAGTAAAACCATCTGCTATTTTTCTTATTCCTTCTGGCTTATGTCACTGAATATAATGCCTCCTAGCTCCATCCATGTTGCTGCTAATGGCATTAGTTTATTTTTGATTGCTGAATATAGTATTCCATTATGTATATATATCATGTATTCTTGATCCATACATCTATGTTTAGGCATTTAGGTTTCTTCCAAGGGTTACCTGTTATAAATAGTGCTGCAATAAACATAGGGGTACAGGTATTCTTTCAAATTAATGTTTTTGTGTCCTTTTGGTAGATCCTTAATAGAATAACTGGGTCATGTGATTGCTCCATTTTTAGTAGTCTGAAGACCTCCACACAGCTTTCCATAGTGGTTGGACTGGTTTACATTCCCACCCAATGTGGGAGAGTTCCATTTTTACCACATCCTCATCAACACTTGTTGTTGCTATTTTTTAAATATGTGCCATTCCCATTGATGTAAGGTGGTATCACATTGTGGTTTTAATTGCATTTCACTGTTTATGAGGGATGTTGAACATTTTTTCGTATGCTTGTTGGCCATTTGCATTTCCTATTTGAAGACGTATCTTTTAAGTTCTTCTGCCCATTTTTTGATGGGATTGTTTACTTTGTTTTTGTTGAATCCTGTGAGTCGTTTGTATATTTTTGTGAGCAGTCCCTTATCCTTTGTATAGAAAAAAAATTTTCTCCCACTCAAAGATATTACTGAGATGTATGTCATATGTTTTTTCTATATTGTGTTCTATATATTTTATGGTTTCAGGTCTTATATTCAGTTCTTTTACCCATTTTGAGTTGATTTTTGTGGATGGTGTGAGATAGTGATCTAAATTCATTGTTTTGCTTGTGGTAAAGTTTTCCTACCACCATTCGTTGAACGAACCATATATATTCTTTGCTCCTTGTCAAAGCTAGTTGTCCATATAAGTGTGGGTTTGTTTCTGGGCTTTCTATTTCTTTCCATTGTTCTGCGTGTCTGTCTGTATTCCAACACCATACTGTTTATTACAGCTTTGTGGTATAGTTTGAAGTCTGGGTGTGGGTGTGTGATACCTCCATTCTCCTTTGTTTTAGTTAGGAGAGCTTTGGCTGTTCAAGGTTTCTTGTGGCTCCATATGAATTGCATCAATATTCTATTTCTTTTGAGATTTTTATTGAAACACCATTGAATATGTAAATTGCAAAAAAAAAAAAAACAGCCCACTCTTACCCTAGTAAAAAAAAACATAATAGGGGATAGTTACCCATGATTCAGGGAAAATCTTTGTACAAATAACCCCTTCCTTGTGAATCTTTCATTGAATAATATAGCCATATTTATAATTGATCAATCAAATATTAATCATATTTCTATCTGGAGAAAAAAATAAAATTTTACTTGCTTTTGAAAATTGCAGTAACATGCTATTAGCTCTAGTTGGTTTGTATAGTCTCTGACATTATTGACCAAACATTCATTTTTGTGCACTTGAATGCGTATAGTTTTTTTTGTTTTTTTTTTTTAAGATTTATTTATTTATTCATACAGAACTGGGGTACAGGCCAGAGGCTCAGGGGCGGTGAGAGGCTTCACTAGAGACAGAGCAGGGAGCAGAACAGGCAGATCGACGAAGTACACTGCTGAGGGGAGCAGCGGGCGGGCCAGGAGAGGTCTGGCTCGCCATGTGGTCTCCTCCGGGGCAGGCGGCAGGCGGGAATCGAACTCATGCGGAAGCGGCCCCAGACCCTCAGTGCTGTGCTTCAACCCGCTGCGCCACCAGGGAGGGCCGAATGCGTATAGTTTTTAATTGAAGATTAGTAATAGGAATATGATATTGCCATTGCATTAAAAATATACAGCTTTGCAAATGGTTAAAAAATTTTCAGTCTTTTTTGTAATTGCTTGTTATAGATAATCTACCACAGATAGCTATCATATAGCTTTATCAATAAGCTATTATCTGGATTTTTTTATTATCTTTATATATTATTAAGGTGTTTCCTTTCGAACTCTCCTACACTGCTAGTAGGAGTGCAAACTAGTCCAACCACTAAGGAAATCTATATGGAGTTTCCTCAAATTACTGAAAATGGAGCTGCCATTTGACCCAGCAATTCTACTCCAAGGGATCTACCTAAAAGACACAAAAACATAATTCAAAAGGATACATGCATCCCCATGTTTATTGCAGCAATATTTATAATAGGTAAGACTAGGAAATAACCCAAATGCCCAGACATGGATGACTGGATAAAGAAGATATAACACAGTGAAATACTATTCAGCAATTAAAAAACTAAGCTAATGTCATTTGCGGGAACATGGATGGAGATAGAAGGCATAATGCTCAGTGAAATAAATCAGAAGAAAAAAGAAAAACAGCAAATGGTTTCATTTATAGGAGGAATATAGGGAAACCAAAAAAGGGATCAGGGAAAAAATAACATCTATAAAAATCAATCATTACAACAAAATTAAACAAAATAGACATCTATAATTCAGAGACATTTTGCAGGGGAAGGGAGAGGGAAAAGTAAAGTGTTTCTTTTCATAAGTGTGTCTTTGTAGATATTAACTTTGAGCAATGCCTGTTTGTGATTATGTTAGCAGAACAAACTAAAATCAAAATTTCTTATATGTATTGCCTTAAAAAAAAAAGGCTTGATAGAAGTAGCATTGAATTAATATGGATTTCTGTACATTCTTTGATCTGGTGATCTTCCTCTATACTGTAGTATCATTTTCACCTTGTTACAATCACTTTTCTTCTATTTTGTTAAACTTAGCATATGCTTATATACTTCAAGACTCATGTGTATTAAGTTAGTTTATAGCACTGTATATGATTTAGAGGTACAAGTTCACACTTCTTCAGATACACATCACCACACCACACCCACCATCAAAGTACCCATTATCCATTGGACCCCTCCCTACTTTGCCTTCTACCCCCACCCCTCCTCTTTGGCAACCTAAATTCTGTAGTCAGATTTCTAGGTTTTGTTTTTCTTTAGTTTTGACATTCCTTTGTTCAACTATTAAAAAAGTTGAAATCTTGCCATTTGTGATAATAGGGATGGAACTCCAGGCAATTATGTTCATAAGCAAAGTTAAGTCAGAAGGAGAAATATAAATACTAGGTGATTTCACTCATGTGGAATATAAAGGATTAAAATGTTCATTCATCAAGGTCTAGCTGAAATGCCAACTTCTCTAAGTTGTTATCCAACTTCACATTTGCTTGTTACTCCTTTTCTTGAACTACCTTAATTTTCTTTCATCATACACATTGCGTTTTACCTTGTACTGTATATATATTTTTACCCTAACAATTATGTTTATATACCTCTTTCTCATTTTCTGTTGTATGTTTAGGTATTAGAAATTCTGGCTTGGTATCTAAAATTGCGAATACCAGAGGGAGGGAGAGTGGTGACAGGGAGTAAAGAGGGGAGGAGACCCAATGGACTGGTGGAGGATTATGGGTGCTTTCATTGGTGGTGAGTGTAGTGTGATCATCTGCATCAGAAGAGGTACATACCTATACCTCTAAGTCATACACATGTTGTACTCTAATGTTACTTCATTAAAAATAATACAATATAAAAAAAGAAACTGATATAGATCATGTTGACTGGTAGTTATTATAGTTTTAAAATCTATAGTATTGTATTTTAAAACACCTTATAGCATGATATGGTAAGGTTTGTACAGTTTTTTCCATTTATTTATCTCTACCACCACTTCAACATTATTGTGGAAAAGAAGTCCTATTTTATGAAACAGAATATAGTAGTAAATGCTGTGTTCGAGTGCTGCGGGTCAGGTTTCAAGCCCTTTAATTCATCTTCCCCTTATACTGTGTTAGTAGTAATGTTATTTCTTATAAAGGGAAATATTAAATTGCCTGGGAATAGCTCTATGTAGTAGCCTCTGGTTATGAAATTCTTTTGTGTAATATATATTTATATGTTTTGTGTGTGTGTGTGTGTGTGTGTGTGTGTGTGAATTATATGTGAATGGTATATAGGCTGAGTAATAAAATACCACTATTAACATCATCAGTTACAATTTGAAATATCATACTTTAGAATATGTTGTGTACATTTGACATTATTTTCTATTTCTTCAGCAGATTTATAAAGTTGCTATAGGGCAAAGGATAGTATGTGCCAGTGTTTATACCATACAGTGTCTAACATAGAGCTACATAGACATAAATACTGAATGAACATCAGTTGAGGGCAACAAGTACCTCTTCATACATATTTTTTCAAAATTTTGTTTGTTGTAAACAGAAGGCATTTTTCATATTAAGTTCTAGAGAGTTGTTAACTACTTTGCTGTTATTTATTACCTTATGGTTTTTGTTTTAGCTTATCTATTTTAGGCAAGGACATGAAGCTTATGTGCGGGCTGTAAGGAAATCAAAAATATACAGTGTTAATTTACAAAAACAGCCATGGAACAAAATGGACCTCAGGGTAAGTTTACTAAGTTTATGGTATGTACAGTTGAAAAATAGCTTTAGAATTAAGTTATTTGTCTATAGGATTCTCTCAGTTTTACACATTTTTAGATGTTGATTATGTATCCAAAATAAGGTGATGTACCATTGTCTTGTACAGCTGAGTGTTATAGGTCATAGTTTACATGTTTGCCAGAATTTATATGACACCTGTTGTCTTGATTATTTTACCTAATTTCCTTCAAGTTTCAGATCTTATAGTGTGTACTGTACTATAATTGGAACAAAGCACTAGTTCTCAAGTGTGGATATTTTCTCACAACAGCTTTATATATTCTGGAAGCTCTACAAACTGACTAGATGTGTGGACTTACAAACAAGCTCAAGTCACCACACTTTGGGGCACTTTGGGGATATAGTAAATACCTTAAATCTCATGAAACTCAGAACTTTGTGGTGCTTCTTCAGTTATTTCTTTCAATCTAGTACCAGTATGGCTTCATGGTATTATTGATTAAAGTAGCTATGTATGTTTGTAAAGAATTTTCTATCTACAAATACATACTCATTCATTCATACAGACAGGTATAGGGATATATACACATCATTTCTAGTTAGATTGTGTATGTTGTTGTCCTAATTTTTATTCAACTTGGATAACATGAGACTAAGCAGAAGTAATTTGATGGTTTTCCAGGTAAATGGAGGGTTATTGTGTGCTGACGCTTAGCAGGAAGGATCCACAAGAGAATATGTATATTTACTAAAATAAAGGTTTAGAAACTTATAAAAAATTGTATTGAAGTTAGATTTATTTATTTGTTCATACAGAACTGGGGTACAAGCCAGAGTCTCAGGGGTGGTGAGAGGCTTCACCAGGGACAGAGTGGGGAGCAGAACAGGCAGATCTACGAAGTACACTGCTGAGGGGAGCAGCGGGCGGGTCAGGAGAGGTCTGCCACACTATGTGGTCACCTCTGGGGCAGGTGGGAATCAAACTCATGCAGAAGTGGCTTTAGTTTCTCAGTGCTGTGCTTTAACCCACTGTGCCACCAGGGAGGGCCCTGTATTAAAGTTTTAAGATGTAAAATCTTACCAAGTAAGCTTTTTATAATCATCTCCTAGAAAATATCATCTACTCTAATTCAGGTGACATTGTTCTTTCTTTTTTTAATCAGGGAAATAAATGCAACATTTGATTTCTTATTTTAAATTCTAACCCTGTGGGGTCTAGGAAATCATAAGAAGTAGCATATGTGTAGCACAAGAACCTGGGTTTTGTAATAAGGCCTGAATTTTAATCCTATGTCTGTATATTCTTGTGTATAACGTTAAGCAAGTCCAACTGTATCCAGAGACTCAGTTTTGTAATGCTAACTGTAAGTAGTAATCAGTATATGAGTGTTATAAAATAATATTATAAGCATTCAAAGATGCCTTTCCCCAAATACATATACATGTTCACCTGCATACTTTTTTGCTAGAGAAGTGGTTCTGAACCAAGCCGACAGAGCATCATAATCCCCCTTAAGATTTTTTTTTTCAAAGTAACATTTGACTCAGCTGTTGCCCAGCATTACATGTGTTAAGTTATAGGAACGTAAATTTTATTTTTTAAAGATTTGTTTTTGGGTCCTCCCAGGTGGTGCAGCAGGTTAAAGCACAGCACTGAGAATCTAAAGCCACTTCAGCATGAGTTCGATTCTGCCCCGGAGGTGACTCACATGGTACAGCACACCTCTCCTGACTCACCCTCTGCTCCCCTCAGCGGTGTATTTTGTCAGTCGGCCTGTTCTACTCCCCATTCTGTCTCTGGTGAATCCTCTCACCGCCCTTGCACCTCTGGCCTATACCCAGTTCTGTATGCTTAAATAAATAAATCTTTTTTAAAAAAATATTTGTTTTAATTTATTTATGTACACAAGAACTGGGGTGTAGACCAGAGGTGCTGGGTCAGGGTGGTGAGAGGATTTACCAGAGACAGAGTGGGAAGCAGAATAGGCAGGTCTACAGAAATACATTGCTGTGGGAGCAGTGGATGGGTCAGGAGAGATCTGCTGGACCAAGAGAGGTCTGCTGCGCCTTGTGGGTCAGCTCTATGGTTGGGGCTAGAACTCATGCTGCAGTGGCTGCTGATAGCTTGATAGTGCTGAGACTTTTAACAACTGCACTACCAGGCAGGCCCTGAACTTAAAAAGATTCCTGAGAGAATTATTCTGCTTATCCTGCTGTAATGCCCTTCCTAAGCTAAGGATCAAGAACCATGTCTCACTACCTTTGACTCTTTGTAAAATGTCTAGTATTTGATGGCTATTCAAATGATTTTTAAACTGTCCAAATCACAATGAAATAATTCCCAAATATGAGACATTTATATAGAAAATAATAATTTATTTTCTCTTAAATAGGAACAAGAATTTGTTAAGATTGTAGGAATCAAATACGAGGTTGGACCTCCTACGCTATGCTGCTTGAAGCTTGCATTTCTGGATCCCATTTCAGGCAAAATGACTGGAGAATCCTTTTCCATTAAGTAAGTAGCTCTGTGTGTATGAATGTGTGTGTGTGTGTGTGTGTGTGTGTATTTTAATCCCTGGAGTGTATTGTGAAGAGAGTACAAGTATTAATGGCAGAGAAAATGCTACACACTACAGATTTTAGAGTTTTAAAGACCAAGGATTAATTCTTGGTTTGTTTTTCAACTATGCATATATCTTTGAGAAAATTACTTAACCTCACTGAATTTATGCTTTCATCTGAAGAATTGAACTGTTAATATCCTTCTGAGGATTGTTGTGAAGAACAAAGGAGAACCTTTTTAAGTGTGTAACATGCTTGAAGCATGGTAGTTGCTTTTTTCTGTTAGTAATAATAGGAACAATAAATCAATGGTACATTTCTTGAAATTGAGCTTCAAATCTAAGGAGATGAAAGAATATCAGTTCATACTGTTGTTTAAAAGTTCTTAATATAAAATTCCTTATATTAAGCTTTGAGACTTTTCATTGGCATCTTTATATTGAAATTACACAGTAGTAGGCAGATCAAAGCAAATGGGATTTGATTTATGTGAAGGCATTTATAGGGACCTTGAGAGATGTGCAACATTTTGCTTAATGGCTCCACATTGAACATATATCCTTGGGTGTTTCATAAGTATCTATGCTATTATACCTGTTTATTCATTCATATGTGCTTTATTTTCTGTACAGGTATCATGACATGCCAGATGTAATTGACTTCCTTGTGCTACATCAGTTTTATAATGAAGCCAAAGAAAGAAACTGGCAGATTGGTAAGTATAGTGTTCTCAATTAATGACTATTACATATGAAGTAGAGTAATTTTCAAAGTCTATAAACAGAAAGAATTTAGGGTACCATGTAGATGGGAAAAGCTTTCAGCCAAATTAGAAAAGTTTAATTTTCCTTTTAGTTATATTTTGGTGATCTTATGTACATGGTGTGCAACATGTACTCTCGAAATCTTTTGCAAGTACTTTATCTATTAGAATACAGATCTTAGAGAAAATCGTCAAATGTTTATTGTCTTGAAATAGAGTATTTTACACTTTTGCCTTAAAGCAGACCATTAGTCATTGTGGACAGTCTCCCTACTTGCGTCCCTCTCTCTCTCCTTCTTTCCCTTCTCTTTGCTCCTTCTTTCTTCTGTCTCTTTCTCTTTCTCTGCTACTCCTCTTTTCTCCTTTATCCCTATCTTCCTATCTCCCCTTCTTCCTTTTACCTCCCCCCACTGACCATTTGATCTTGGACAAATGATAAACTTATATGTGCCTCACTTCCACTGTCTTTAAAATCATATTCTCACCAGTATACACCTATATAAGTTTAATGTGAGCAGTACATGAGTTAATATATAAAAAGCACTTAAAATAGTACCTGGCACAGAACAAACACTTATGATTGCTATTAAATGTGAAAGAAATTTTCAATCAGAATGGTTTGTTTCTGTAATCCTTTGCCATTTAAAGGCAAAAAACTTGCATGGAGAGATTTTTGAAGGTAAAAAGCTGAAAGAGAAAAGAACTCTAGTAACACGTATAATATAAACACTATGTGTTAGATGATGGCAAGTAGTCAGTAAAAGTTAAATTAGGGCCCTCCCTGGTCGTGCAGTAGGTTAAAGCACAGCACTAAGAAGCTAAAGCCACGTCAGCATGAGTTCGACCCCCGCCCTGGGAGGTGACCACATGGCGTGGCAGACCTCTCCTGACCCACCCCCTGCTCCCCTCAGCAGTGTACTTCGTTGATCTGCCTGTTCTTCTCCCCACACTGTCTCTGGTGAATCCTATCACTGCCCCTGCACCTCTGGTCTGTACCCCAGTTCTGTATGCACAGATACATAAATCTTTAAAAAAAAGTTAAATTATATGTGATAGCATTCAAAGATATGAATGTATGTGATTTATTTTAGAAAGATTATTACTAGCAGTTGGGAATTGAAACCTTTAGTAAAGTCGATACAATGCAACTTATGTAGTTAATAAAAAACAGCAATTTAGAGTGGGAAAAGAGCTGTTTTTCTCAAAAACACCCTTTACAGTATTCTAAAACTGTTACAGGTGATAGATTCCGCAGTATAATAGATGATGCCTGGTGGTTTGGAACTGTGGAGAGTCAGCAGCCTTTTCAGCCAGAGTATCCTGATAGTTCTTTTCAGTGTTACAGTGTTCAGTAAGTACATTTATGGTCTTTTATACTTGATATAATACTTTAGTACTCTGTGAACTTCCTATAAGCCTTACCAGAAATTATGTTTTTTATACGACATCTAGACTTAGAGTAACTATACTTATAAGGAAAGTAGTCACTGTACTTGTAAAGAAGGAATTTGGTGATAATGTTTTGATCCATTATGAATGCTAAAACAGCAGGAATTAAAGGTTGAATTCTACCACTTTTAATGCCTGTATTTTCTCTTGAATATTTCTATTTTACTATGTTTTTTGGAAAGAGGAAAAAACAAAAAAGTTTGATAATGATGTGTACTTCTTGATGGGATGATGATGGGAGAGCCTATTAAAAATTGAGTAGCTGCTACATATTTCTATTTTAGATAAGAATTGCAATTTATTTCATGGGGAATACTAAAATTAATTCAGTGTTTGTTTTAGCTGGAATATAGCAATGAATATTATTATCTAGTCTTTCATTTAATGTCACCAATTTTAGACAGAGATAGCTGTATTATGTTTGGATGAACCAGTTGTCTACATCTGCTTTCTTCATGAAATTTCTGAATTGTAAGATTCCTAATGAACGACACTTTCTAGAATAATAGAAGAAATGTGTATTCTGTGAAGATAAATGTTTTTAGTCTCTTAGTTTATCATACATGTTTTGTAGATATGCTGTAATACAGAAGTTGTTAATATAAAGTAGGTTCTTTTACAGAAAGAAGTGATCTGTTAGATTGACTATTTTAGGTCAAAAGAAATTTTCCAAAGAGTTCTTTTTATTCTTTACCTTGACATAATTTTAAATATGATTGATTGATGTTTAAAAAATTATAGTTAAAACTAAGAGTAACTTTACTGCTAAGTTTCATGATATTGGATCATGTTTACTATAGGTTTATTATTTTTATGTAAGTAAAGTTGTGGTTTAAGGAAAAATGTATTAATTACCCTGTTCCAAATTTCACCCTCCAATAACTCATGAAAATTATGCTAACATATATATGAGTTTGATTTGCATCTTTTTTTTTTAATAGCTGGGACAATAATGAGAGAGAAAAGATGAGCCCCTGGGATATGGAGCCAATTCCAGAAGGAAGTAAATATGCTTTTGAAAATGAATTATATTTCTTCTAAAAGAGTGGCAATAGGATGATATTAAAAACTAATCATTTCTGATTTTTCTTATTATACATAGCTGCCTTTCCAGATGAAGTTGGTGCTGGTGTTCCTGTATCCCAGGAGGAACTGACTGCTTTACTATATAAACCCCAGGAAGGAGAATGGGGTGCTCATTCCAGAGATGAGGAATGTGAACGGGTTATTCAGGGCATCACCCACCTTCTTTCCTTAGGTAAGGTGAATGTGAAAGAATGTTAGGAGAGTGGTAGAGAATTAGGAAAATCAGCAGAAATTTAAGTTTTATACAAAAAAGTACACTTTCTCACTGTAGACTTTTTTAGTCAACTTTTAAGTTGAGAGGTACTTAAAAATGTAGTTTTAGTGTCCTTTGGGTAGATCCCTACGAGTGGAATGGCTGGGTCATATGGTAGTCAGTCCCATTTTTAGTAGCCTGAGGAACCGTCACACAGCTTTCCATAGTGATGGAGCTAAAAGGGGTTATGCTCAGTGAAATGTGTCAAAAAAAGAAAAAGAAAAATATCAGATATTTCACTTATAGGAGTAACATAGGAGAACAAAATAAGGGATCAGGGAAAAATAATAATGATTTAAAAACACAACAAAACTAAACAAAAATAAACAGAAAACTATAAATCAGAGACATTCTGCAGGGGAGGGAGAGGGATCAAAATGAGGGCCGGAAGAGCACAAGGGAGTATAGTATTGGTGCCTGGGTGAGTTGGTGGTAGTAATTCAATGAGGGCCACACCTAAGAAAGGAAAGTAAACATTGTGAAAAAAAAAGGTGAGCAATAATGTGTGTGTGTGTGCATATGTACACACACATATATGTAGATCTATATGTACACATGTATACATTTATACATGTATGCATTTGTGTGTGTTTATATGTGTATACATATACACGTACACACACATCATTGCTCATATATACACACACACATAATTATTTAATTTAAACATGTCCCTGAGGTACAAACAATATGTAGTTTTAGTATTAACACTATTATTTGCTTAGTGAAAGTGATGAAAGATAAACTTTTTCAGTTTTGTGGAGGCTCATAATAATAAAGGCAGGCATTTAGGAATATTTTTCTTTAAGTCACTTAGACTCGATCTGTCCATTAAAACCTGATTTTTGGAGGGTTTCTTGGTAAAAACAGTGGGTGTGTAATGTTTATTATATTTTACTCACATGACTAGTTATATTTTCTAAAACATATTATATTTGAGAAGTTTGGCATTTATCCAGAAAAAAAAAAAAAAATATATATATATATATATATATAACTGGAAGTTAAACACAGCTTTTTTTTTTTTTTTTTTTTGCATTCTACCTGACTTGAACAGATGTATCATGCATGTTTCATAGATATTGTGTCCAACAATAGTGTTATAGCAGGACACAGTCTAATATTTACATGAATCATCATTGCTTTAGAAATATAGTATGTTGCCCTTCCTCCTTATTTATATGAGTTTTTGTTTGTTAACGTAAAAATGTTAATGTCCTTTATAACTGCCTGTTTTAATTTTGGGGATATTGTAGATTTTGCCAGCCCTTTTGCTGTCCCAGTGGATCTCAGTGCCTATCCCTTGTATTGTACTGTAGTTGCTTATCCAACTGACCTCAACACAATTAGGCGGAGGCTTGAAAATCGCTTTTACAGGTGTGTTTGATTTTATCATTTCCTATAAAATATATAACTATATCTTTTACATAATGATACATTGGGATCTGTTTTCATAATCGTTCAAAAGGCCAGCTTTAAAAATTTAGAAGACTATTTTCCCTATATCCAGTAGAGTCTCAGCCTTCAAGAGTAACAAGGGATAGCGGAAGGGACCTTCTTGGGGGGAAATTTTGAGTGGTGCAAATGTGTGAAATGACAGCTAGTTAATTTAAGGTTATTAAGGCAAATTAAGTGGTTTGTGAATTCTTTATGATTAAGATACTGTACAGACTTAGAATGTGTTTTAAATCGGGCAGCAGTTAAATACAGATTTCATTAACAGCCTGAAATATGTATAGAAAATATTCAAATTATTTGTCCCTTGGTCTGGTTCTGGGAGTAGAATTACTGTGGGTAGATTCTGGAGGTGATGTTTCCAACCCCGGATTCCACTTTGTTCTAACTTATTCCGTGAATAGTTTATAAATATAACCTATTTAATTTATTTTAAAATATTACATACATTTATCTGGCAGTATATATCAAAAAACAGCTAGGTAAAAATTTGTTCTTTCCTACAACCTGATTTCTTTTTTCTTGTTCTTTTCGCTTCTCCTGAAAACTAAACATTCTTTGATTTTTATGAAAACATTATATTTGGTCTCATCACTGTTTACCTACCCATAATGTTCTGGGTCAGTTCTCTTCCAAAATTTGAAAGTGGTTACATATCCTTCCATGTGTCTCAAATATTGTATATGGTTTATTAGTACATATTGATCTCACACACATAGTGAATCACAGATATATATTGAAACACCTTTGTAATATGGTTATCTTGTTCAGTAAGACACATTCCTAATGTAGACTTTAAATGTATTAAGACTAACCAAGGTTATTTTTTCTTTCATAGGCGAATATCAGCACTAATGTGGGAGGTACGTTACATTGAGCATAATGCCAGGACTTTCAATGAGCCAGACAGTCCTATAGTTAAAGCAGCCAAAATTGTAACTGATGTCTTACTTCGATTTATTGGGTAAGAAGTAATTTTATCTTCCATGTGGGCCAAATTCTGATTTTTTTAAATTACTGAAATATATTTGACTTAATCTTGTTTCTTAGGGATCAGAGCTGTACTGATATACTGGATACTTACAATAAAATTAAAGCAGAAGAACTGAATAGTACTGATGCAGAGGAGGTAAGAATACAGCATAATTAATACTTTTTCTCTTATTTAAAGTACATTTAGTATTACATGTAAGTACTGTAAATGACTATGAACAATGAAGCTGATTTCTAAAAGGTGGCTCACCTGCATCTTTTCAGTTTAAATGCTTTAAACTCTATTGTAGATGTCATATACCAAGAAATTTAGTAATGTGATAGTGTTTTTAGTCAGAGATGTGGTGGTGAGGCCAGAGGTGAGGGGATGAAATAATACATCAGAGGTACAAGTAGAGAACAGAAAATGCAGGTTCATGGAATACACCACTGACAGGAGTAGTGAGCAAGATAGGAGGGGTTGTGTCTTGAACCCCAAGAAAGGCTTGAGGCTCTATTTTATAGCATGTTATTTACTGGGATGTCTGGTTTTGGATGTTGACCTTTGACACAGAACATGTCCTGTCCCAGCTCCCCATTCAAGGCCAAGATTCTCAGGTCTTCTAGCCACATTCCCACAGCAACCTTATGTATTTGCTTTATCTATTCAAACCAAACTTGCCTGCTGGGTGAAGAGTGGGGCTTAGTTATTAACCTTAGTAATGATATCTGGAAAGGAGATAGGTGGCTGGCAGTCATCCTGCTTTACTTAATGGGTTTCAAAGATGATAAATCAGCACTTCATTTTCTAGCTTAAAAATTAGACAAAGAACTAATTTATTTATTTATTTATTTAAAAAAATAAAAAGTTTACTACAACAACTATACCACCTGCATAAATGGGAGAGATCCAGCTTGAATTAGTAACTTGTCCATGTTTCCTTTGATAAGCTAAAGAAAGAAAAGAGTTTGGAGATAGGGAATGTTAGCTGGGGAGTTTTCTGAGAAAGACACAAAGATATGCAGAATAAGTTATATTGTCTTCTTTGAAACAGATTAAGATCTTTCAGGGGACACCCTAGTAGTATAACAGGGTGGTCCCCAGGAAAAGGGGAGGTTCTAGGTTCCCTGCCCCACCCAAGAGGAGTGTGGAGCTGAGCAGAGAAGGATCTGGAGAGGAGACTGAAGAGGAAAGAAGCAAGATGGAAAGTCAGAAGGAGACCTGAGGGAGGCACATGGAGCAGAGACATGTGAAGATGCGGTTCTTGTTTCTTGGCCCTGGAGTGGGAGAAACAGATGTGGGTGAGAGACCCATGGGAGGTTAACTATGGCGGCGTTTATCTTGATTTTGATTTTGCTCTTTTCCTCCCAGACTTGTCTGGCCATTTCTGGCCCTTTTTGGTGTGTCCCTGCCAGTACTTTAGACTTGTGGTGGGCTTTCAGACCTTGTTTTGGGTCAATCCCTTTTGTGTAAACTTACCCACAAGGGGATGGGTAACTGGGTATTTGATTTAGAAACTGTATTCTTTGTCTTTGTCTTTTCTCTATTGTGCACTAATTATATTAAAGTTCCTTTCCATTAAAGGTCTTATATGTTTTGTCTTGATGTGGCAGATGGCAGAACCCATTTAGTGGGGCAGGTTTGGGGGTTCAGGGGTGCCCCTCTCCCTGCCCTGTACAGTAGAGTGGCCTTCTCTTTATACTATAAATGTATTTCACCAAAGCTTGACTTCTACTGCACCTTTCCCATGAAATACACCTTTTTCAAAAAGACTTATTTTTGTAGTGGCAGATTTTTGTTCCCCTATAGTCCCACTGTTAGTGGACAGGGTGAGGGGCAACGTTCCCCATACGCCAAACCTTCACTCTGTAAATGGTTTCTATCTACCACATCAAGACAAAACATACTCTAGTGTGTAAGAACTTTAATATAATTAGTGTGTGATAAAAGTACAACAATGTAGTTTAAAATAATTTCCAATTAAACACCCAAGGTTACCCATTCCCTCATGAGTAAATGCACAGCCAAAAAAGGTTGGCCCAAAGCTGCGCCACTGAGGCCCAAAAGCTTGCCACAAATCTAAGGTACCATATGATGAGGACCCCTATGAAAAGGGCAAGAGGGAGCAGACAAGTCTGGAAGGAAAAGTGCTAATCAAAACCCAAGTGCTGGTAAAGGCTGACATTTTCAGCCTCCCCACAGTTCTCTCACTCATGTTTCTATCTCTTTCAAGTGTCTCCTTCCATAACCCCTGAGTCCATGCTACAAGCCCAAGGCCATACAGCAAATGTGACTTCTTCACATATCTCTCTGCTCCATGTGCTCCCTTGTTCTTCCTCTGCTTCTCTCCACTTCTCATATCTTTTCCCAGTCTTTTCTAGTGTCACCTCCCTGTCAAGTTCCAACCTTCCTTAGGAACACCTCCCCTTTCCCTGGAGATTGCACTATTACACCACTTTTAGAACGTCCCAAGAAGTTCCACAAATCAGAAGTGGGGTTGTTAACATTATTTTATCGAACCAGAACTGAGAGTAAATCAGTCCAATTAGAAAGTTGTTTCCAGTTTCTGGAGGCAGTCCTGTTGATGTGTCAAAATGCAAACCTATATTATACAAGCAACATGAGACATTTTTTGGAAAGAAAAAAAAAATGTTAAAGATTGAAGCAAAACACAAGTCCAGTGGGGAGTCCTAAGGAAACCAATTGAGATATCCAGGTATCAGGGTTAGAAGTATCTTCAGATAGCATGAGGGCAGACAGTGGTTTTCCCTTTTACCATTTGATGTTTTCAGGCATTTATATAACAGTGACAGTCATTCTCAGATGCTACAAGCAAGAAATGAAGTTCTTGATATCAACTTCAAAAGAACTAAATATCTTAAATTGGCATTTCATTCATGGGCATTTTAGTAAGGATTCATTTTCTACACAATATATAAAATATTTTAAAATTTCAGATTTCAAAGTCTTCATCTTTAGTAGTTTCATAGAATTGTTATTTGATTTCTTTGGTAAATAAAGCAAGAGAAGTGTGTGTGTGTGTGTG